GCCATACTTTGTCAACAGGACCTAGAGCTTCCAACCCCAATCTTGGGGATGAACCAATACTGACGACGAAAAAGAGGTTTGAACACTATAGCATTTCTGGCCATCGCTGAGACCTTGGAACGGCCCTAAAGTGCACCGATCTCATTCATATGGCTAGCAGGTGGTGCGTTTGGCGTCCATTATCAAAGCATGTACATGCGCCCGTTTGCTGCACTCATCTTGTCCGGCAGCGTTCCGAACGTGTTCGTCAGGGAATTGTCGAGATGGCTTTGCATCAAGGTCTTCATTTGCCTGCGAGACAGCCTTCTCGGCCGCACGCAATTACTGCGCCACTTCGAGGCAGGGCTTTCCGGACTCGATCATCGCGATAGCCGAATTGAGATGGCCGTTCGCCCGTTTCAGACGTTTGACGATGTCGGCATGGGAAGCGTGAAGGTGTCGGGTCATGCGTCAAGGGGCGATGTCATCGCCTCTTTACGCAAGCTCAGTTGAGATTACGCAGTTTGTTGTACTGACTGCCGATCCTCAAGGTCACCGTGACGTCCTCGTCGCCGCGATTGCCCAAGAACCAGCGGTGTGCGCCTGCAAACGACGCTTGGAGATGGGCGCTGTCGCCGGCGATGTCGCGGACCTGTTCGTAGGGGACGGACTGCACACCCCTCTCCGTGGGCGCCGAAGTTGATGACGCCGCCACTGAGCAATTCAAGGACAGCGGCCGACCAGGTCGGCGGGCCGGCCCGCCTGCATAGCAGGGTCATGGTTCGTTCCGTGATATATTGGGCTTGCGCCTTTGCGCACGTCGGATCACGAAAAGTAGCCGAGAGGCAAGTCGGGTCCTCGCGGGAGGACGCCCGGCAAGATGGGTAGCATTCCGGGTATGTATGTTTGCAGAAGCGCGAGATGAGTCAGCGAATTCGTCGAAAGAGGGGTCAGAACGTTGTGAACATGGTCGACCGCATCGTGCGCATACGCGAACTCCCCGCTATGCGCATGACCGTGATCCTCGATCGCATCGAGTAGCCCTCCTGGCCGAGAAATGCACTGCATTGGTTGCGATCGGTGAGAGCATTCTGAACCGCATAATACCAAACTCGAACAGCACCGTTTAGACGTGGCTAACCAATAGCATTTGTCAACATAAGGGATTGAAAAGCCACATGTGACCAGAAAGCCATCTACACCGGACCGCCGGCAACCGATGGGCAGGCTCCAAACGGGTCGAGGGGATTGGTGCGCGGATCGTTTCGGTTGAATACGTAGCGTTTCTCGCACACATCCCAGTCGGGTGGTTGTCGTGTCCGCTCGAACACATCGGTGCCTTCCTTGAGGTTGGTCCAGAAGGAGGCGTGGGGGCTCGAAGCGTTGGCCGATATATTGGCGTCCGTCATGCGAAACGGCAGCAACTGCACCTGGAACGACCGATTGCCCCCCGAGAAGACCTCGCGCGCCAGGGCGTAGATTTCCTTAATCTGATCGTCCGTTACCGCATAGCAGCCGACCGACTTGCAGTCGCCGTGGATCATCAGGTTCGTGCCCGTGCGGCCCCAGGCCTCGTCAAATTTGTTAGGGAACCCCACGTTGAACGAGAGCCAGTAGGAGGATTTCGGATTCATGAGCGCGGGCGTGACGTCGTAGAAGCCCTCGGGGGACTGGTAATCGCCTTCGCGGAACTTGGGTCCGAGCTCGCCAGACCAGTTGCAGACCTCATAGGTCTTGAACAAGGCATAACTGCCGGTATACGTCCGTTTCCAGACCTCCAGCTCCGAGGTCTGCTTGTAGACGCGGATGACCATGGGCTCGGACGGCGACGATCCCATGGCAGCGAGGCGCTGCAGCGTGTCGGGGCTAAGCGGCACCATGTGGCGGTTGTCTCCGACGAACTGGCTGCTGCAGGCAGAAAGGACGATCACGGACATCAGCAGGGCGAAGGCGCGGAACACGAAGTGTGGCATGATGGTCTCGTTCATTTTCGGCAACCATAAGGTGGTGGGGTTACCGGAACGTAGCCCGTGCCGCAGATGTGATCTACGGCATCGGAAGGGGCATTAGCATCAGCTCGTTCGCCGAAAGGAAACGCCATTGAACATCGCGGGGATCGCCGATCAGCATTTAATAGAAATGTCGGAGATCTTCCGCCTATTGGGGGACCCCAGCAGGCTCAGAATCTTGCTATGCTGCCACGATGGAGCCAAACCCGTAGGTCGGATCGCTCAAGAGCTCTCGCTGCCTCAACCCTTGGTAAGCCGCCACCTGCGGCTTTTGCGCGGTTCGCGGATGGTTGCGCGCGAGCGTGACGGCAAACAGATGTTCTACAGGGCCGCGGATGGCCAAGTCCGCAGCATTTTGAAAAGTATCGTCACCAATCTGAACGAACGATCTCTTGCTTGATTTTGGGGGATGATGGCAGGCCAGCCGTTGAGGCTCTGCACCGCGATGGGCTTGCCCATGGTGATCTCAAGCCAGCCAACATCTTGGTCACAATCATTGCGGATGTTCCGTCTCCAATGCTTCTCGACCTGCTTGACTACTCGACCGAGGAAGCAGGCGATCGGTTGACGATGGCCTATCAACCTCCCGACCATGGCGACGACGCCACCTACCGAGACCGCTATGCCGTCGCAATGATCGCTGAGGAACTTGCGATGGCCTGGACGCAGGGGCATCCCGGAGAGGTGTGGGGCGCTCTCGTTACTGCGGCCAGCGAGGAGTGCGGGAAAGGTGACAATGCATGGGAAACGCTGCGCCCCCTGCGAGAAGCCATCAAGAAGGGTCCACAGCAACAACGGGCGGACGAAGGTATCGCCCTAACAGTGGCAATCGCGCGGCTGCGCGAGCCGGGGCCCTTGCTTGCCGACAATGGAAAATACCATGTCGTGGAAAGGCCCGATCATCGGCTTGAGATTGTGGGGTTCGACAGCAAGCTTGAGATACTGCTCGACGGGGAAACCGGCCTCCCCCTCAGCGCCAAGGTGCACACCGTGCCTGCCCGCTCTGCGGGGTGGGCGGCACGCTATTCGACGCTGTCCTTTCCCGGCACGGTAACCCTGACTGCCGGCGACAAAGGGTTTTCAGGTTTTGAAGCATTGCGCGAGGCGCTCGCGCGTCCCAAGGCGGCGACCGACGAGATCGCGCCCTCGGTCCTTGCTTTGCCTCACCGCCCGGACACCGGTGGGGGCACTCGTTTTCCGGTCGCGCGGTTCTGGCAGGAAACCATCACGGTCGAGGAAGACCTGCAGCCCGAGGTGACGTTGAGCGAGGCGGCCAAGGAAACCGGCGAGCGGTTTCGGATAATGCTTTCTTGCCAGGAGGTTGTCGACTGGGACGCCATGGAAATCGCGAATGGCTCCGCCATTAAGATCACTTGGAATGGCGAGCTGGTGGGCTTGGTTGACCAAGACCGCTCCAGACGTAACACCATTGTCGTCCGGGATGCGCGCAACTTTAGACGTCTGGCGGCAGGGGACACTTTACGCCTACATGCTTCTGATGACCTGTCGAGCTTCCGCCGTCGCTCTCAGGCCGTCGAACGCGTCCTTACGGGTCGAAGCCAGATCGGCAATTTGATCAGCTATTTCGACCCGGAAGCGCGGATCGAACCACTACGCGTCGCGTCCGAGATTCCGGAGGACGCGCTTGAGACCTATGGACTTAATGCAGATCAGAGCGAAGCCATGCAGCACCTCTGGCAGTTTGGCCCTGTCGGTTTGCTTCAGGGTCCGCCAGGCACGGGCAAGACCAAGTTCATCGCCGCCTTCGTGCATTGGGCGCTCAACGGCGGAAAGCTGAACAACGTTCTAGTTCTGTCGCAGTCCCACGAAGCGGTGAACACTGCAGCCGAGCGTGTTCTCGGCGTGTTCGGCAAACTTGGCGGTGACCTAGATATGCTAAGGGTCGGCCGCTATGACAAGATCTCACCGCAGCTCCGCAAGTATCACTCCCAGGCAGTTCAGGACCGTTATCGCGAGTTGTTTCGAGCGGACATAACCGCCCGCATATCGGCCGTGGCAAAGCGCCTCGGCCTGCCCGCCGCATTCGTTCGTGAGGGCCAGGAAGTCGAGGCGACATATGCCACGTTGGTGCGTCGCATGTTCTACGCACGGCGCGACATCGCTGATAGTGCGACGGACGATGTGGTGACCGCAGCCAGGCGAAGCTTGGGCGCACTTGAACAGGCCTTCTACAAGATCCTCGACGCTGACGGTGTCGAGCGCGAAGGCACACCTGAGGAGATTCTTGAGGAGTTGCGAGAGGAGGTCGCTCGCAGCCACATGGTCAGTGACGTAGACGCGCAGGAACGCTTGACTGGCCTCAGCGCCATGTCGCGAGACTGGATCGCGGGACTAGGGGGTCGACACCGCAATCTGGAAGAGTTTCTGGCAAGAAGCCGCAATCTCGTCAGCGGGACCTGCGTGGGCATTGGCAGGCACGATCTTCGCATCGAACGAAGTGTTTTCGATCTCGTGATCATCGATGAAGCGGCACGTTGCACGCCCAGCGAACTGGCTGTTGCCATGCAATCGGGTAAGCGCGTGCTTCTGGTCGGGGATCACCGGCAGCTGCCTCCTTTGTTTGGCCATGAGTTGATGAAGGAAGTACGTTCCCGCATTGCGGGCGTCACACCACGCGAGCTCAGACGTAGCGACTTCGAGAGAGCCTTTGGGTCAAGTTACGGGAAAGGCGTCGCACGGACGCTCAAGCGGCAGTACCGAATGGCCCAGGAAATCAGCGACCTTATCTCGGAGAATTTCTATACGGGTCAAGGCCTGTATGCAGAACGGCCGACGCCTGATCAAATTTACGACCAGTTGCCTGCGCCCTTTGACCACCAGGTGGCCTGGGTCGACACCTCGAGCGGGGGCCAAGAAGGCGAAAGCGGCCATAGTTTCACCAACCGGCGTGAGGCTCATACGGTCATCGAACTGCTGCGTGCGCTCAGCGCCAAGGAGGAATTTCTGGCCGCGGCTCCGGAGACGCTCGAACTGGAGCCAGAAGAGGCACTCATCGGGGTTATTTGCATGTACGCGCAGCAGGCCAACCTAATCGAGGAATTGCTGACCTCGTCGGGCCTGCCAGCCTCCTTCCGTTCGATGGTGCGCGTCGACACCGTCGATGCATATCAAGGCAAGGAGAACAGGATCATCATCATTTCACTGGTCCGAAACAATCCTGACTCCAGCATGGGTCACGTGCGGAGCGACAATCGCATTAACGTCGCTCTATCTCGCGCGATGGATCGCTTGGTGATTGTGGGATCGGTGCGGATGTTCGAGCGAAAGGGCAATCCGCTTTCGCCAGTTCTCAAATCCCTGCGGCAGCGCCAGCTGGTGCGGACCAGCCAGCAATTGGGGCTCACCCGATGAGCGGTCTCAAGGACGGCCCCGGTCCTCAGTCCGTTTTGATCGACGAGCTTTCGTTCGCCGTCCGCGCCACCAAGTTCCGCCTCGCGGCGACTTTGATGAAACGGACGATTATCCCGCTCGCAACTGAGTTCGCCCTCCGGTTGATCCGGCTAATTCCCGGGGTCACCGCTGAGGATCTCGCAGCATTCTTCGGCTTCCGCGAAGCGGAAGTCCGTGTTCTCATCCAGGACATGCTAGAGACTTCGCTCGTACTCGAGCGGGACGGTAGATTCCAGCTGTCCGCCAAGGGACTGGAAGCCGTCTCCCCTCTGGGCGATGTGGAGTTGTTCGCGGCAGAAGAAGTTTCGGCCCAAATGGTCCTCGACCTCATCGCCTTTGCGCCGATCGAGGAGGCCGAACTCGACAAGGCCTTGATAAAATGCGTACCGGAGCTACCACTGCCAGACCGCCAACGCGCGGCAAACGCACTCTCAGAAGCACCGCGCGCATTTGAATATCACTTCCAGGAGTGGACGCAGCGCTTCCGCAAGCGAAGCGACGACATGCGCTTCCGTTCAGTCGAAGACGTTCAGCAGATCAGATCCCTGTCGGTGCCAATCGCCGTGCCGATCAATTACCGGCTTGATGAGCCGAGCGGGGCAGAAGCCGACTTTTCTGCGCTACGCCAAATCGGCATCCCCAACTCGCGTAATACTCTGATCGCGAGCCTGAGCGCGGAAATCCAACGCATCGGCGCGTCGAACGATGCCGACTGGTCGTTCAAGACGCTCGCTGATATCGACGGCGGCGTCTTTAGCCGACTGGGTCTCGACGACCTATCTGGTGTCCCAAGCTGGATCCGCTCAGTCGTGGCAGCAGGAACACCAGACAATGATGCCCACACGATTCCGATTCTCGGCTCGGTCGTAGGAGAGCGTACCAAAGTAGGCCTTGTCGAATGGGTGACCCGTTTGGCGAGTCGGAGCAATCCTGGGCCGCTGTTCTGGCTCCCGCCGCAGCTCGATCATTGGGGGCGCAGTGTCGCGTTCGATTCCCTAGTGCGCGAACTGCGCGGCGTGCTCCCTGACGGGATAACCTTGCTAATGCGCACCGATAAATCAGAGCTAGAGCGACGGCGGATTGTTCGGCACTTCGGTCCCTCCGAGGAGCACATCAGATTTGACCGCTGCCTCGGCCCAAAGATTTCTACGCTAGGAGCGCTCGAGATCGTTGTCCAACCGGGCAGCTTCGCAATGGCCTTGGTACACTCGGCAGATCCGCGGACCGGTTACCCGCTTCCGGTTGGCTATCTCTCCACCGACGCATTTGTTGTCAAAGAGCTCACTTACTATCTGGGCGGCCTCCTTCAGGATATCGACTCATCGAGCGTGATCTGGCGTCGCGCCGCGGAGTCAAATGAGCACGCCTTTGATGACAGCATGGGTTCACTCTGGCCCCGACTGGCCAAAGTTTCGATATAAATTCTGGTCAACTTCTTGCTACTGACCAAAATTTGTATATATTATTTGGTCAAAGGTGACCAGAATGCCCGATCCCCGTTCGGACACAGTTGAACGCATCAATAACAGAATTGCCCGGGCCGCGCCCTCGGGTGTCTGGTCGCGCGCTGACTTTCTCGATATCGGCACGCCAAACGCCGTCGAAAAGGCGCTTCAACGGCTCACCAGCAGCGGTCAAATTCGCCGTCCCCATCGCGGTCTCTATGACAAACCTGGTGAGAGCGGCCTGACGGGGAAAATGGTGTTTCCGCCACGCGCATCCTTCGTCGATGCGATCGCGCGGCGCGACAAACTCCGCGTACTGGTCGACGGAATGACGGCGGCCAACGATCTTGGCCTCACGACGGCCACGCCGGCGCGGTCCACGATCTATGCCGATACCTACCCTCGCACAATAGCAATCGAAGCCAATGCCGGGGACCCGCGAGCAACCGCGCCGGTCGTCTATGTGCTCGATTTCAAACGCATCTCCGCCAAGTCCGCCTTTTGGGCGGGACGGCCGGCCATGCGCGTGATCCAGGCGCTGGGCTGGTTTCGTGATGATCGATCAAACCTCGACACCATCCTCAATGGCATTGTGCGCCACCTCTCGAAAAGCCCTCAAGGCGAAGCCATCATCAAGGACCTGCGCGAGAATATCGCTGCACTGCCGGCCTGGATGTATCCGATAATCACCGATATCGAGCGCAACGTGACCACTAAGGGCGCGGAGGACGGCCCCACCGGTTAAGACGATCCAGAGGGAAGGCATGTATAAGGCGTTCATTGATATCCTTCGCTCCCAGGACGAGGAGCGCATCGCGCTGTTTTCGAGCGTTGCTGCGAGTCTCGAAACGCGCGCAGAGAATGTCGAAAAGGACCTCTATGTCTGCTGGATGCTGGATTTCCTGTTCAACCGCCGCCAGGGCGATCCGATCGGGCTCTACTTCAAGGGTGGCACCAGCCTCAGCAAGGCTTATGGCCTGATCCGGCGCTTTTCCGAGGACATCGACATCGGCATCTATAAGGCCGATCTAGGTGTTCCCCTCGAGGCCGATATCGCCGCGCTGCCCTCGGTCAACCAACAGCAAAAGACGCTGGCAAATCAGGTGGACGAAGCGGCGCGAGTCTATATTTCGGGACCGCTGAAAGACCTGCTGGCCAAGGAGATTGCCGCGGTCGAGGCGGCTAGCGGTCAAGAGGGCCTGTTTTCCATCGAGTTTGGCTACGACGCCTATCGCGACAAGGACGCACTCGACATTCTGGTCCTCCGCTATAGGAGCGTCTTTGACACGAGCGGAGGCTATGTCGAAGCAGCGGTTCGCATAGAAGGCGGTGCCCGGCCCGATCCCGTTCCGGCCGAGCCTCGGCAGATCGAACCCTATCTTGCCTCGGAAATGCGCGCGGGGGCGGACCTGACGGTGCATGGTGTCATGACCGTCAAGCCGGAACGGACCTTCTGGGAAAAGGTCTTGATCCTGCATGCTATGACCGAAATGAGCGAAAAGCGTAGCCTTGAAGGCAACCCCGAACGGCCCGTCCCCGATCTCAATCGCTATTCACGCCACTATTACGACGTCCACCAGATATGGACCCATCCCGACTATGGAAGGGTCACGGCCTCCGCGCTCGAGCTTGCCGAGGCGAGCCGTCAGCACAAGGAGCTGATGTTCCGGGCGCCCGATCACCGATATGACCGCGCCATACCGGGCAGCTTCCGACTGGTGCCAACTGCGGACATGGGCAAAAAGCTCGCGGCCGACTATGAGCGCATGTCGGCGATGATTTTCGGCACGGCGCCCAGCTTTGAGGCCGTCATGACGAGCATCGAAGAGCTGGAGAAATTCCTCAACCTGACCTTACCCACTGTTGGAGCTTAGGCATGCTTCGTTCGAGACGGAGATCGATGATGCAATTGCCATATTCCATCAACCTGCTTGGCGCCTACGAAGTTGAAACAGGAGACGTTGCCACTCAGGATGGCGAAATTATTGGCACTTGGACGCTTATTGATGGTGCGCTGTACGACTTCACGCCGATGGACGGAGACCAGCCAATACTTACAGATCCATTCGTCTGGAGCCTATGCAGCCGGATAGGCGAATGGCTTGAGGCTCAGGCAGCCTGAACTTGCCGTTAGTTGAACTGGGCGGGGGTGTGGACAGCACTAGCCTTCGGCAACGCGGCGACTTTAAGTGTCGAGTAGGCATTTGCAGAAAGCCTACTGTTCAGCTGGCACAGCTGAACAGTAGGGCAGCGAAAGCGTCCGATTAAATGTTCCCAGCCGCGTGCTGCCAGCCTTCCTCGTAACCACTTATCTCCGACGATTTCCAAGTGTTTAGGACGACACTTTCGGTGCCGTTTTCCTGCAGGAAAGCCCGCAATGTGTAAGCGAGCATGTGCCCGCCTACGCCGACGCGCTCTTCTACCGGCAGCGCCTCGTCGGCTGCTTTCTGCGCCTCGATAATCGGCAAATAGTCATCGGGAAACGATCGGACTTCGAAGCTGGAAGCATCGATCGGCGGCTTCACTGCATACCCGTAAGCCAATTCTTCCGACTGGAAGTTACTGCTCGAGCGATACACGAAGACGCGCATGCGGCGCTCAACGCGGTCGTATCCGAAATGGTACAGCGTTGTACTTCCTGACAGCCCGCGTTCGTCGGAGAACTGCTGATACATTTCAGACAGAACTTCAGCCGCGAAGACATCCAGATGAGGGATGTCACGAACACAAAAATTGGTGTTCGCATGCATCGACCATGTTACGATAAAAGAAGCGTAGCCAGTTCCAGCGACGATTCCCTCAAGATGAGGCAGGCAGAATGCCTTTGAGCAGTAACCCATTGGCATTTTGTCGTTGGGATCACTGAAGGTGCTGTCTGTGACGATGAAAATGTTCTTCTCGTCGAACATGAAATTCAAAACTGTCATAGGCGGAACCGCTTCCGATAGTTCGCCGTATCTCGGCTGTCGTTGAGGTTGATGACTGTGATCTGATCAGATATTGCGTCAAAGTGGTTGTCGAGCGTGATGAGCCACGCATCCTCGACTGCCGCGATGCACGCAATGACAAGATCGGCCCCCGTAGCCTTTTGAAGCCCTCGCGGTCGAAAAAGGTGGAGGCCCTACCGATAAATTCTTGGTCAACGGGATACAGGGTTTCGTTCTCTCCCATGATCCAGAATTCTCGCAGCGTCATGATGCCCTTCTCGTGCTTGCGAGAGATGGCATGGGATACCTCGAAGGCACTTATCGCGGGGATCAGGTTTTTGTACGGCCCCTCGATCCAGCTGTCGGAAAGGTCCTTCCACAAACTGAGTCCAGGTGAATAGCCGTCTTCGTTTGGCTCCTTGATGTTCACGACGGCAGAGGTGTCCCAGACCAGTCTTCTCACTGTGCTGCCTCGGTAGGTGTGGCGCTCGCACCGGGCGGAAGTGGTGCCGGCCCGGGACCGAAGGCGACCCACGCCGCAAGGGTCGAAAGTTCGCTGTGGAGGTCATGGGCCTCACGCATGAAGGGC